TAACCAATCACAGCAAACATCTGGTACTGAGCCTCTCAGATTGGCTCTCTACTCCCTGAGTGTGAACTAAGCTAACCAAAGACAATTCCGTTCTCAATCATTATTGGGTGCAATGGGCACCAGATGCTTCTTTCTGCAGTCGTGTCTATAAATGATGGTGCAGTAATAAGCATCCACCAATCCATCATTTAAAGATGTATGGGGGTACAAAGGGGGCTAAGTATTATATCCTAGTTAGGCAACTGCTTTTCCATTTATACAAAACATATGAACAGTTATTATTAGGAAATTACTCCAAAAAACAAGCTAAGTGCAATGACGACTGCAATTTTGAGGTGGAGTCTTACTGTGCATATCCATTCACTTAGTATAAGATATGTGGGGAAAAATCACAAGAGTGCTGGAGGGGTTGTGGAAAAATAGGCACGTTTTATCATATATGGTGGGAGTGCCCGAAGATCCAAGGTTTCTGGGAAAAAATTGTCCAACTAATTGAGAATATCTCTGGGATAAAGTTAGGACTGGACCCAGATGTATGTCTACTACATAGTACAGAGTTATCGGTAAATAAATATAAGGACTCGGGTATGTGGTGCTATCTGAATGCGGCGAAGGGTTTGATACCTAAGTTTTGGTATAGACCAGAGGTGCCAAAGATAGAGGACTGGGTGGAAAGAACAAATCAAATTTGCAAGATGGAGAGATTGTGTTATATGCAGGAAGACAGGATGGGGTTGTTCTCTAGGAGGTGGAAAAATGGGAAGAATTTATGGTGAAATATATGAAGTAGTAATGTGTGAAAAGATGAAAGGATTTACATACCCCATATTCTAGTTGGGAAAAGAGTTAATAGAATAATGCAGAGTAGGTGGGTTCATAGGGGGGGAGGGAGGTTTTTACTTAACGGGGGAGGGGAAATAGAGGGGGGGAGGTAAATGGGAATAAAGATAGCAAGAAATGTTATTAATGATATGGAAATGGTTATTTTTTGGTATGAGAATAATGATGAAAAATGTATTATTTATAGAAAATGAATAAAAATTTAAATAAAAAAAAAATATCCATTCACTTTCAAAGAGACTTTCAATATCCTATGGCTTTTAAAGCCATTTATCAGTTCTGCCTGACAGCTAGACAATGCTAAACAGAGCAGTAAGGCAAATTTGTGGAAATTTTGAGACTTTTTGAGATTTACTAAACTTAGAAAGCTTCATCCCTACCTCCCTCAACTTCTCTAATATACAGTATAGCACTGCAAAGAAAAACTACCCCTAAATGTTTCTTAACCACTTAAGTACCAGCCTGGAATAACCACTCTTCATACTTAGGCCATTTTCACCTTCCAGTGCTGTGACTGTTTGACTTCCAGTTACTCGGTCATGAGTAACTGCAACCAAATTAAAATGTATGCCACTTTTAAGACAATTAGAGTTGGACTGTTTTTTACTATAAAAAGGAAAAAAAGAGTCCAACAATTGTGAACAAAACCCTATCTGTCTTACTTTCTGTTAAAATAAAAATGCCAGGATAGTATGAAAAAAATCCAAATGACCCCTTTTTGGAAGGTAGACACTGCAGGGTTATCCAATTTGTTACCACAATTTCTAAAAAATGAAGAAACATGTTGGTATTTAGGAGGTTAAAACAAAGGGCTTGGTAATGGCGCACTAGAAACGTTATTGTACAAGTCATACCAAGAGGGAGGAAGACATGAAGGGGTTAATGTACAGGCCCCACACAGTAAGAGAATGAAGATAAATGGGTTAATTTGCAAATGCCCAGGATAAGGAGGGGGTTAATATGCAGGCCACATAGAAAGGATGGAGATCAGCAGTTACAAAATGAGAATTTTATTATTATTATTATTATTATACAGGATTTATATAGCGCCAACAGTGTGCTTTACAATATAAGGGAGACAGTACAATTACAATACATTTCAGTACAGAAGGAATAGGAAGGCCCTGCTCGTGGAGCTTACAATCTAAAGGAAGGGGGTGGGAGAAAATGAATGTTACAAATGAGAATGAATGAATAATTTCCCATTTGTGACTTACTATGATTATTCTCCTTCCTCTGTTGTTAGAGGAAAGGGAGGGATCATCAAATGTAAACAGTAGCATGTGATCCCTGTGATTAGCTTTCACAGCAATCACTAGGTTTCTTTATACCAAGCCATCTAATAACAGCTTGGTACAAAGTGATTAGCAGGCACAAGGCTTACTCTATCTGCTTTTGTATTCGATGCTGGGAAAAATAAAAGCTCACCAATTTACCATTTATAAATATATTTTGGAAGAATACAGATTAATTGGTCAATCTGTTTTGAATGAAATCTACCTTACTGTACCTCGATGAAAATCTGTTTTATCTTCAGTGGAAAATCTGCGACAGACCTGTGCAAATCTGTCAAAGTTTTCAGGCTCAAGAGCCACTAATACACTGTCCCATAGACTTTGTTAACTGACAAGCAGCCTGATTCATATTCAAAGTTTTCTAAACTAATCTGTTTGATACTGTAAATGTTTCTTGTTTTTTCTTGGTAAGGATTTATTCTGAAAACTGTTGGAAGTAGTCTTTGTGAACTCAACTACAGTCATTCATGTAACTAAGCTACAGTTTGCCACTCACTATTACTTGTTTATTTCTTGTTGATCATTCTTGTTCATTACAATGTATCTAAACCTTACAAACAAAAATGTAATATATTGCTACTTACCAGCTTGTGGTGGTTCCTTTTTTTTGGAGCGAATTTCAATTTCCTTTAAATAAAAAACAATACTTGTTGATGCTGCTAGAAATCCAGTATCCCTGTAACTTCCTATGTACTGAAATGATAATTCAAATGAATGTTATCAGCTTTCCTAACAATTTTCAGTGATTTACAAAAAAAAAAAAAGATTGTCTTGGTTGGAACAAAGCAGAAGAATAGCATAGGGTGACAAAGCTGCTTGTCCATAGATATGTTACACTGGATAAGCGGTGTCACAATAGGACAGGAATCACAAGATATATGTATATTAAAAAATAATAATAATTTAGCTACCACATCTTTGGCCTGGTAAGCTGTTATATATTACTTTTTTGTTTTTGGGTTTACAAATTATTCAATCACTTGAGGATTTAGAATTTTAAGCTTTATGCCCTAAAAAAAACTTCAAAGTTTTTAGGACGAATCTCTTATATCCAGCTCCTCTAACACTGCCGCCACTCGCTCTACATACAACAGGCAGGTTTTAAGTTATTGCATACCCACAGCCAAGGGATTAGTAGTATTATTCAATGATACATCAGTACTTGTATCCCTTGGTGCAGGCTTTGTGAACAGCTTTGTGTGCAGCGAACTGGTTTAGGGATCAAGTTTGTGTTTAATTATGGGCTCAGGGGCTTTAGTTTAACTATTTAGGTCTAGGCCAGGTTTAAAATATTTTTATTTAACTAGTTGGGGACACTGGACATGCTACATATTCCCAAAAATAGTCATCAAAGTACACAGGACATGTGTAGTATATGTACTCCTTCTTGCCCACTGCTGCATACCCCCTCAATTTCAGACAATTTTCATCTCTTAAAATTAAGCTGGAAGTTTCTATGTAAATACTGTAGCAGCTGCTGCTGTAAAAAAAGAACTGCCTGACTCAGTGTTTATCATCACTGTACAGACATGAAATAGAGAGATAAGAAGTAACATTGTTACTTTTGCATCTACTCTGTTTCATCTATTTGCTGATCAAAGAGATGAGCTTCGACCTGCAGATGCTGATTTGGAATAAAATGCTTGCCTCCAAGACTTCTCCATAGTTTCCATCCTCTGGAACTCCTCACCCAAATATGTCCGACAATCCCTACATTCACACGGATGCCTACATTTCAGAGTTGTTTCTAAAAGCAGCCGTGCTCACACAATGCAAAGTAATCATGATGTTCATACTGTACATAACGATAAGCAATGTTTAGTTGTAGACAGTTTATCTTTGTTTAGGAAAAGAAGGAAAGTGCTGTGTCCAGGGTCAACTATCTGCAGCAATCTGCACCTAAACACACATTGCGTTTAGCTGAAGAGAGATGTAATGCATTTAGCAGCAGAAAATGACACAATTCCCCTTTTCTATCTGAAATGTGTGTATTCCTTCCCATGTCAGTTCTCATTCATCCTCATGTTGGTATTAACTCTTTGCAGACATGGTCTGATTAACTGTCAGGTTACTGACATTCTGGTAAAGTTGTAAAAATGTTTCTGGATAGGTGCAATTTCCTCATATATCAGGACAAAATGTCCCCTAGTTAGATGCTGGGATGTTATGGGAAGTACCCATCTTTGCTTCATTTGCCTCTCTATCTGCCTCAGAGCTGGTTCTCACCGCAACATGGTGTGGGAAAGGTGCATTCTGTGCACATTTCCTGCACTGCAGGTGACCACACTGTCTTTGCGATCTGCATGTAGGTGCCAATTAATTGTTAGCAGAAATCCAAATGCAGATCAAAACACAGTATGTTTGCGGATACTGTAGTACCATGCAGTTTGGTCCAGTGCATTTTTAAGCCAGGGATCACACTGATGCGGTGTGGCATATCGCATGTAATTCGCACAGGAACCGCACCACATTTCTGTGCAACTCACATGCGAATTCTATGCGGTGCAATTTGAGCCATACATTTTGTATGGCTCAAATTGCACCGCATCCACACCCAGAAGGTGCAGGACCCTTTTTTTGGTTTGCACTAGAATTGGATCGCATGAGTATTCACACCTATGCAATCTGTTTCTGCACATCGCACTATGTTTTGCAGACCAATTTTGGGGTGTTGTTAACTTAACATGCACACCTGCAGTGGTTTGTATGAATGGGGTGTGATTGTGATGCGGTGCGGAATTCGCACACAAACCGCTGCAAATTCCGTACCGCATCAGTGTGAAAACAGGCTCAAAGTAGTGCTGTGTAGGTGAACTGGCCCTCAATCGTCTTCTCCTCTCAAAACGGCACACAATGGTCAACATCAGCTTTACTCTGCACTTCATTTCAATTACACAGCTCTATCTCCTTGCTCAGACAACTACCAACAAAGTGGAAGAGGAGGTGCCTGAGGTCAGGGGCGGACTGACCATTTGGAAACTCGGGCACCGCCTGAGGGCCCGGGGTCAGTAGGTGGCCCCATGAGATGCCCCTGGTACCTTTTTCATAGGATTTTTTTTGAGTTTGGGCAAGGACACAGGGGTCCCATGATCCCCTATTGCCCGGGGGGCCCCATGATTTGTCAGTCTGCCCCTGCCTGAGGTTTAACATTCTCCCAAGAAATTGAGAAAAAAATGCCTGAAACTGATAAGTCACTTAAACACAGCTATCTGCAGCTAAATGCTGCTAAATTAATTTACAAAGTTAAACTATCTTCAGGAAATATTTAAACATTTTAAAGTTCAGATTACTGGCATTCAGTTGCTGTCCAATACAAATGTCCACATGAATGTAGCCCTATTCTGTCCACCTTTGGAAAATCCCTGAAAACTTATCTTTTTGGAGAGGTCTATCCCATCTCTAACTAATAAACAAAACTTTTACTTTCTCTGTCAACTCATCCCCACAGTTATTACCCCATGCATCACCTGATCCTCCCTATTAGATTGTAAACTCGTGTAATGCCTCTAAGCAGTTAGGTTTTGTTCTTTTTTTAGACAGAGGCTGGATAGCAGCCTGGGATGAGTCAGCCTGGAAGTGAGGCAGGAGTTCACCTCAGGGAAGGCTGGGAGGCTCTACAAGTCAGGGCTTCTGTCACCCTCTCACCCTTCCAGAAACTCAGAAAACATTATAAAAAAAGGGCAGGGAGGGGAGGAGGCACATATCAGCATGTTTGAGGTCACTTGATTTATGTTCAGGCAGCAGGCCAGGCATAGTGAAAAAGGACAACCCTTAAATTTGGCAGAGCCTGATCAGCAGGGGAGTCGAGTGAAAGATGGATTGATAGAAGGCTAAAGTATGGAGCCTGGGAGGGGAGCCTACCTACAGGCTGGTTGCTGGGCAGGAGGATCTTCATGGTTCCACCATCTCTTAGATAAGACATTCTGAGCAGCAGGGCAGGAGCCAGCCTAGTGAAAGGCCTACAAGCAGCTACCAACCCACTATGCTGACAGTACAGCGTGAGAACCCCTACACCCTCTGGGTCAGATAAAGGGAGAGGGAGGTCAGGTGTAACACCCAACTAGTTCTCATCTGGGACTAATAAATGGGAAGATCTAGGAATCCCTTGCCCAGGGATACCCTCAGTCATGGATTCATCTGGGGTCTGAGGAGGTACACCAATGGGGACTTCAGTGCTCCTTAACAGAGACAGTTGCAACTTTTGATCCACTTTTTCTTGTACAGTATTGTTGTTAAGAAGTTTGTCCTCTTGTCCACAGTTCCTTGGGCATCCCATATAACCCTAGACCCCATCCAAGTTGCTAATCCCTTAATAAAAACAACTAAAAACCAGCTTCATGACTGTTTACTGACTCTGAATGTGCAAGTATGGAAAATCAGTGTTGCCTTTCCATGCAGAGCTTAGGGGGGACCCAAGCAAATTCAGCAGCCCTCAAGAGGGTAGTGCTACACTCTAATGAGCAGGACCCTCTGTGGCGATTGGACCTGGACAACCATTTTGCTAAGATCTACCATCTTGTATCATACTCTGCAAATGTCATTCTCACTCCGTCCAGTCTTCCCCCTCCCTTTTTTAAATGGCATGTGATGTGCGTGTATGCTGGGGTCACAAGTGCATCAGGCACAGCTGGATATGCTTCATGGTTGTAAAGCCAATTAGCTGGTCCCATGATGTCTGTCAGACTTTTGCCTTGGCCTGGTCGTAAATCTATAAATCAGTCAGTCACTGGACATGAAAAGCATTCCAGAGTGGCAGTAAAACGTACATCCCACATGAATCACTTTTCATCCAAATTCATAAAATCCCAACAGAAACAATGTACATTAAAACAAAGCATATATTCAGATATGTCATTTTAATACAAGTCACCTGATACCTTACACCCCTAGGTAACGTCTACCAGAGAGTAGAAAGCAATATCTTTTTATCCGTCACAGCCGGATATGTCATATTTGGTGTCTGGACGTTCAGAATATGATTCTGCATATTAATCTACCAGTGGCTAGGCTGCTACATGCACCTATGGAAGGTTATTGACCATGTTATAAACTTGGGAGGGATTTGGGTCACAGCCTGGGTCTCCGTCTAACACCCCTCTCCAAATGAGGCGATTGGCCCTTGGCTTCAGTAGCCACCCCCTGCTGGGACACTAGAAAAGGCTGTCATGCCTGGAGAGAGGATGAAGAGATTCTCCCTTTTAACATCAGAAACCAACTTTGGGAGAAAAGGCACCCTTTTGTTCAGGACACTTGAGCTCTGCTTAAACCAAGGGCTTCTGCAGGTATCCTACCTTCCGAAACTTCTTTCTTTATCTCTCTGTTGTGCTATTGCTCTCTCTATTTATATATATATATATATATATATATATATTGTGTTACATTTTTTGTGTAAATATTTTTATTGCACCATTTTGACCTTTTTAGTAATAAATCCTATTTTCTGAAAAGTGTTGAACTGTTTCTAAAGCTCTTTAATGCAAACTAAGAATCCCTGTCTCTGAAGAGTGCTACTGTGTGTTTTAACCCCCTCTGCATACATCTGTCTGCAGAGGCAGTGTGTATACAGATGCTTATTCAAACATCATAGTGTTACTGCTAAGATTTGTGAGTTTCCCCCTTCTCTGTAAAAAGGTGGTGGTGGCAGTGTGAAGGGTTAATTGCGTAATTAACCTGACCCAGTAACAATCGCTCTCAGGCTGCTGGCACATAGATTGTGGTCCAGTGAGCTGGACAATCTTTGTGCAGGGTGCAGCTGAGAGTGGCATTGTTACGCAAGTGGCAGCGCGGTTTTAGATTGGCTGGTCCTTCGGTCACAAGTTGGTGAGAAGGGCTGGGGTCTGACGCTGTGCCCGTCACACCCTCCAATTCCTATTAAGCCTGGTACACATGGGGTGAATATCGGCCGGTATTGGTCAGTTCAACAGAAACCTGCCGACATTTGGCCCGTGTGTACAGCAGTCTGTCTTGCAGATGCTTGTCGAACATTTGACTTCTGTCAAACGGGGATGCTGGAACAGGTGGGTAGGGGAGCAGTCCCTATGTCCAGACACAATAGCTCAGTGGGGAGATCACTGTACTAACATCACATAGTACAGCGAGCTCCTCAGTTTTTTTTCTGCTCAGCCCCACTGGGTTGAACGAAAAAAATAAAAACTGCCTGTGTGTACCAAGCTTTATATTGAATTGTATTGTACCTGTACTGTCTCCCTCCATTTTGTAAAGTGCACTGTATAAATTCTGAATAATAATAATAATTATGTTTTGTTCCAAACAAAGACTTTTAAAACAAAGAGTAGACAAAGAATAGGTACTTTTATGTTCCAACTTCCCATTTTTAATTTTTTTCAGGGACATCTCAGGTTTCCCACTGCATCAACCATAAAAAACTTTGCTTATCAATAATGTTCACAAGATTGAAAGTTACTGTACTGCACAGTCTACCTCCATTTTGTAAAGTGCAGTGCAAACTGTTGGCACTATATTTATTCTGAATAATATAAACAAAGTTTTTTTTTTTCCAAACAAGGAATTTTGAAACAGAGCTTGGACATAGAGTATAGGTACTTTTTGTTGTACTTTCATGTTACGGCTTCCCATTTTTAGTTTTTTCACCTCTCACCCTACTGCATGAGATCAACTGTGAAAAAATTACCAAAATCGTTCACAAAATTGAAAGTTTTTTTTTGAGAATCTGAAAACCCCAGAGTCTTAGGGGCTTGTTTATAAAATGTATAAAATGATTAGCCAATCAGAATAAATTTTTTATTCAAGAAATATCATAGGTCATTATGGAATACAGCTCCACTTTTGTTCCCATTCTTAAGTTTTAGCTTAAATATATACAATTTCTTATTGTTTCTGTGAAAAGAAATACAATTTCTGTAGGCATGGTGCTAGCAATAGAATAAATCTTAGGATTATACTGTAGTCCTGTAAGACAGCGATGTTAATGAAGTGTGTTTCACAGCACATTGAAGCTGCTTGGAAATTTAAAATAAAGAACACAAATCAAAATGTGCATTGTACATAATATAGGTAGATGAATGGCACTATAAAAGTGCAGAGAAAAATTTCCTACTACCTTTATTTATATAAAAAGTACACTGAAAGTGCATTGTTTCTACAGTTTTACAGTTCTTGACTCTTGCTAGTGCTCCCAAGAGCTGGATTATAACACCTGTTTTGGGTGTTAAAGCTTAAATTAAAGTTAAATTTAAAAAAAAAAATGTTTCTCTACCCACTGTACGCATCTGTAGTTATAACTTTTATTTTGTAAAAATCTAGCTAAAATCCCCAATTACTTATCTAAAACTGACAGTCCAGGTCCTAGGTCTTTCGTCTGGCCTGTAGTAGGGTCCATCTTGCAGAGCTCACTTTGCCTCCTGCTGACAGAAAAACTCAGAATACTTGAAGTATTGTCAAACATAGGATCCTCAAAGAGTTTTCAAAAGGTTCTGAAGTCTTCCAGGAGCAACATTATAAAATCACAATCTAAAGAGCGACAACAAGATTGGTTGGTTGGCCGGCAATGTGGCTTCTGATCACCACTCAATTAACATGGATCAGTGGACTTTTGTAAATATATGCAGTGAGAAGCTGTTGATAATAGCTGGTTATTCCTTAAAGTGACTGTAAAGCTTTGTATTTTTATGAAAATAATAAACCTGTCATACATGCTCTGTGCAATGGTTTTACACAGAGCAGCCCCAATCCTTCTCTTCACAGGTCCCCTGCCAGAACTCCTGGCTCCTCCTCTTCATCCAGTACCCTCATAGGAAGCTGCTTCCTGTGCGGGCACTTGTGTGGACTCGCTCCCAAGCCCAGCTGCCTGTGTGCATAGACACAGACAGCAGGGTACGGCCCACCCCCTGTTCCCTGAGCACAAAGTTTGCTTGACAGCAGCTGGAACCAATGGCTCCCACTGCGTTTGATCTGCCCAGTAAGGAGAGACAGAGCTGGGAGAGACGCTGCTCTCATGCACAGTGCTGGATCACAATGGGGCTCAGGTAAGTATAAAGGGGGGCTGGGGGGAACACAAGGTGCATTAAAGTACAACCACCTCACAGCTGGGGACTACAATGCAAATTCATTTGGCATCTGCTAATCTTGCTCCTATGCACTACTACTTGTAGCCACTGTGATTTCCAGAACACTGCACAGTTACTGGGATCAATTTTGGGTCTTTACTCCCAAGTCCTCAGGGCAGCTGCCGTCTTACAGCTTACTCTAGACATGGTCCAGTGAGGGAGACAGTCCTCCTTTAGACCTTATCAGAAGGTCTAAAGGAGGAAACAGAAAAAACACAGTAATTGGCGCTGGAGGGGTGTGTGACTATATATTAATAGTCCATTAAAAGTCCATTAAAAGTCCATGTGGGGGACCATAAAGCATTCACGTGGAAGTGCAGGAACAAAAATCAGCGGCAGCACCCTTAGAGCAAAGCTGAACTCTGCTTCCTATTCTTATACAGATCCCTTGTGATGAGGTCCTGTAATCAGCTTCTAAGCAGTCCCTCAGCCTTGATGCTGCTAAGGCCTCCAAAACAGCTGCACAGTTAATGGTCTGCCTGAGGTCAGCAGCCCCTTAGGCTCTGGAACGTTCCTGGTGAGAGAGCATCCAGTTCTCCAATGCTTCAGACTATCACTTTTGCAGTTGCTTTCTAGACACTCCTCTCCAGAGATTGCCTGTAGCATGATAAATATTCAGGCTCAGGGCGGACTGACAACTCATGGGGCCTCCGGACAATAGGGGATCATGGGGCCCCTGTGTCCTTGCCCAAACTCAAAAAAGCCTATGAAAAAGGTACTAGGGGCATCTCATGGGGCCCCCTACTGACCCCGGGCCCTCGGGCAGTGCCCGAGTTTCCAAATGGTCAGTCCGCCCCTGTATCAGGCTGGTTATTTGCATCTCTCTCTCTAAGCTCTTGAAGCTTCTTCCAGAGGCAGGGAGAAGCAATCAAACAGCCTATGAAACCCTGAACAGACCAGGACAAATGATCACTGCTTCCTTGATTACTCCTCGAAAGCTTGTCCTCAAAATTGTATGTTAGTGCAAATAAAAAAAGTATCACGGACAGTACTCAATTGTTCCTGTCGCAAATGCACTAATATGGCTACAATCACCTCAAGCAAAATTGAATATAGAAGGAACCAAAAATTAAATTTACCTAGCGTCCTATGCTAGGAGGGTGCTACAAGTATTAATGGGATAGGGGGCCTTTTTTCTCCTGGAATTGGCCATTAACTTTGCTTCATGTTGTATTAAATTATCACGGTTAGCAGCATTAGGAATAACACTGCAGTCTTTAACCTCTTCACGCCGGCGCCTCCTGGCCCTTTAAGGGGTTTTAGATGCCGGGAGGCGGGGCAGGGTTTTTAGGGTCATGTGACCACCATGATTTGCTGTCACAGCAGTCACATGATTGGAAAAGGTCCTGATCGCAAGGGAGAATGGGACCTTTCAGTGAGACACAGACATACGTGCTGGGAGTGCTTAGGGCGTGCGCTCTCAGCAAATATGTGTTTTTCAAATGGTACGTAAATATGCGGCCGCTCGGTGTCAAGGCCCAACCGTCGAGAGACCGCATATTTGCGTACAGTCAGCATCAAGGGGCTAATCACAGAGATTTTTTTGTAGCATCATAGATATGCCTAGCATTTGCAAGCTATATATTTAGTATGCAAATACAGCTCAGCCTTTTTCATAATACTAAAATCTTCTCAGGTAAGAAAGGTATTTGCTATAGCTATTATCACATTCTAATCAGGAATCTAATATATTCAAATACTAGATGAAATCGGACAGTATTTCACAATGATAACAGTTTTATATTGAGTTGCTGAAATTACTGAGGTGCTAAAAATGAAGAGGAAAACCACTTAAGAGTAAGAACTGTTTATAACAAGCATTATCCTTATCTCAACACTGTTCTCGGCAGGATGGTTAATAAATCTGTCATTTAATACATCAGTGCTGTGAAAAATAGTTGTTAGACTTTCTATTTGGCAGCCTGTACCATAGCTGTGAAAATACAAAGATACTAAAAGGAAACCTATTCCTAGCCATTGACTGACTAGAAGCAACCCAAGTCCTCTGCATGACCTCTCTGGACTTGACACCGCATCAATCCTTAGAATAACAGACATTTTATTGGCTGCATAATGTTTTTCCTATAGGAAAAACTGGTACTACTCATGCTCATAAAATGTTGACAAGTCATTAAAGGAAGCTTCACATTTCAGAGTTGCTGACAAAACCGATGAGCATAACCATGACCTAGGAGACTTTTCATCTCTTATAAAGGCCAAAACCTAAGTGAAAAAATGTGAGCGAAAGCATTCATTCAGTGTTAACTGATAGCCATGGGAAAAAAGTCTAGAATGAAAGGGTGAAGTCTACAACTTTCCTTTATATACTGTGACTTAATACTCTGAACTAAAAAGTGGCTTAAAAATGCAAAAACAAGTGTGAAAAATATACAATGTTTAGCAAGACAAGCCTTTTAAAATAATAAAATGCATTTTTTATGGTCATAAAGCTTAAAGTGATATTCAAGATGATTAAAAAAAATAACAAACATTTTAAATTTATCTCCTCTGTGCAGTGGTTTTCTGCAGAGCAGCTCCAATCCTCTTCTTCTCGGTTCCCCTCCAGCGCTCCTGGCCCCTTCTTCTCACAGACTGCCCCAAGAGCAAGCAGCATGCTATGGGGCACTCGAGTAGGCTCGATCCCAAGCCACTGCTCTGCATGTCAATTCACACACAGAGCTGTGGCTCAGCCCAGCCCCCTCTATCTCCACATTGGGAGAATCCCCGGAGAGCCAAGGCTCTCGTGCACATTGCTGGATCGTGATAGGGCTCAGTAAGTATTAGGGGGGCTGCTGCACACAGAATATTTTTTTACCCTAATGCACAGAATGCATGAAGGTAAAAACCTTGAGCCTTTATAACCACTTTAACGTCCTTGGCGGTATTCCCGAGTGTAGCTCGGGGTAAAATTTCAGTACCAAGAGCGGTAAGCCCGAGCTACACTCGGGCTTACCATGCGGCGTTGCTCAGGGAGTCCCTGCAGAGCTTACCTTGTCCTTCGCTCTCGCGATGTGTCCCCTGCAGCATCCCCGGCCCTCTCCGGCCGATGCCGGCATCCGGCTTCCGTGTTCCGGTCCCTGTGACGCCGGGACATACGGGCGCCGGAACCGGCGGCAAATTTGAAATTTTTTAAAAATATCATTTTTTAAAAAAAAAAATGATTATTATATAGTAAAAACATTGCTGTTTCAATGCATTTCACATATATTTTGTCCCTACTGCTTTGTCCTGTGTCCTGCCTGCATTTTGACTGATCTTTCTGCTGGAAACTTAGAAAAGTCCATGGTGTCCAAAAAGCATCCCTTTATGTCAAAAGCGGTTGCAGACCAGCTAGAGAACAGCGATAGTAAATTAGAACCACTTGCAGAATTGAGTGATAATGATTCGTGGGGAAATTCGTCATCAGACACTGAAAACGATTTTGCGACTTTGCTCAGCGGTGTGCGAGTTTGCCTCTGCATTTCAAATTTCAGTGTTTTTGGTTTGATTATATTATTGAATTAAATATATTATTATTATATTATTATTTTTATGATGATTTATTAAATTATAACACTGTTCAACAGGTAAAAAAGTTTTGGGCATAAAATTAGCTAATCTTACATAATTTTGGGGTGCTGAAAACGAAAATGACCCTAAAAAATGTTGATTGGCTCTAGTTTCCATGATATATTCACCCATCTAATGACGTAAGCCATTCAAAATTATGATGCAACTTCAGCTGCATATTGCGCAATTGATACTGGTGACCAATAGAAAATTGCATGTATACTGAGATGATGCAATATTAGCCTTTAATTGCATCACTTCACTGCATAAAAGCTGCAGTATCTGTAGCTGATTGTAGTTCGACAGCGTCTTTACATTTCGTTTTATGCTTATATAGGCTACTCAGTAATGCCTCAAACTTGTGTGAATAAAGCAGATAATTTCTGCTATATCTGCGGGAAATGAAATAACTTTTATCTCACAAAAAAGGAGGATAACAGGAATGATTAAGAAAGCCTACAACTTGTATTTTGGCTGCAAGATAGGAGACCAGGACAAGAGCTGGGCACCACATATATGCTGCAATTCTTGTGGGACGGCACTGGAGCAATGGTTGAATGGAAAAAAGGCATCTATGCCTTTCGCTGTGCCAATGATTTGGAGAGAGCCAACAGATCATGTTAGTAATTGTTACTTTTGTATGGTGCCTCCAATTGTAAAAGGGCTAAATAAGAAGAAAAAGTTATCTGTGTCCAAATATTCCATCGGCAATATGTCCAGTTCCTCATGGAGAGGGGCTACCAATTCCTAAAGCACCAGAATCCTTTGTGGTTGAGTCAAGTGAGGAAGAACCTGAAGCGTGTAGTCACGTGCAGTTGTAAGAGATAGCCCTTTCCTCGAATACAAGAGAAAAGCCAAGAGAAGCAAAACCGACACAAACTGAAGACAAAACTAGTGAGAATCCTAAGTATTAAAATGATTCAACTTAGCTTATGGCTATAATTTTTCTTGGTAATCCTATGCAATATATTATGCCATTTAGGCTTTGTTATGTAGTCAATATCACTTGCTTTATATTTGTGGAAAGACATCTATCTATATAATTATTGTGCATTATGTAGTCATTACGCCTATAGTAGAAAACTTTCCGTTTACAGAAAAACTAGAGCCAATTGACAAATTTCATTGTTATATTTGAACTCAGAATGTGAAATTCATTAAGAAATGGATCCTTTTGTTTCCAAAACTGGCAAAAAATAAAAATTTGTTGAACAGTGTAATTTATGATTTCGTGTTTCAAGTTTTATCATATCCGGAATGTTTACTAGACTCTTGTTCGGACAGATTTCAGTGAGTTATTCCTAAAAATTACAGGCCTACAATAAAAAACTACATATTTCCATGCAAAAAAATGGTACCGCTTTCAGCACAAAAAATCGGAAATAATCATACCACCAAGGAGGTTAAGAAATATGATGTTACAAATAAATCCAACAAAACGTGAGGGGATTGGATGTGGAAAATAAAAATTACAATATCAATCACTCTCTTTTGAGTTTACTCTTACTTTAAATATAATAGTAATTAGACTCCCCTTAAATTAAGAGATGCCAAATATAGAGAGAAGCACTGCTAAATATATATACAAAAATACCAAATCCATCTAAATTTTGCTCAGACCAGACATACATCTTTAAAAACCCTTAAAGTAATATTATTGTGGTATTAAATGTAAAACCAAAAATTTTATATATTGCAGCTTACCAATCATTAGATGTAGTGGGTGCATTCATTTTCTTTTTTAGACTTTTTCCCTCTGTTTTCCCCTGGTGATATGAGCAGTAACACACCTACTGTATTAGATAACCCCAGTCTGGAGTAAGGAGCACAGGGGGCAGATGTGGACACCAGCATTGTCAGTCTGGGGGATGTTGGAAGTACTAACAGAACCAAATACTCTGAAAAATTGGAGATGAAATACAGCTAATACTTTATAATCAGTTACAGCAAAAAGGTTTTTTTCCCTTTTGGGATAAAGGTTTTACATAAATAAATAAAAGCTGATCATTTTAAGCCCCCCCCCCCCCCATGGTAAATGGTTTGTCTCAATCCTCTAACTGCAAGAGAGCTTGTTCTGTTGAAAAACAACAATTACTGTCTGGATCCCCAGGTGGAAATAGGAGAAAGAAAGCCTAAAATAGGAAATTAAAACAGCCATCACATCTAAGAATTGTTAAAATTGCAATATAAAACATGTCTTCTATTAGTCTAATACTACTTTAATCATTTAGAAAAACACCAAAGTATTT